GCAGCTGTGTGCCCTTCACTCTAGCACATCTGCAGCTGTGTGCCCTTCACTCTAGCACATCTGAAGTTGCATTTGGTTTCTCATTTTTATCTTTTTGTGTTTGTTTTGCTTTTTAAGACAGGGTCTCCTGTGTAGCTTTGGCTGGCCTAGCATTGACAATGTAGACCAAACTGGCAAAATGCTTAAGAGATCCACCCACCTCTGCCTCTGAGTTCTGAGATCTCAAGTCTATGGTTTTAAAATTAAACACAAGTTTTCAAGAAAGTCTAAATGGAAGGTATACATTTATTACCAGAGAAGAGAAAACATACAAAGTCTGGATTCTTTCTCTTCATGCACTAGTTTTCTATACTAACTAGGAAGATATTTACAAGGGCAAACAAGGAAAAGCTTCCTATGTGGCCCTGCACTGTGGAGTGGGCTGCTGCTTACAGAAACCATATACTGCAAACTAAATATATTCTTATAGTTTACAAGAAGCTTTAGAGCAACTATTAACAGAGAAGACTTTTTAGTGCAAAATATTATAAAAGTGATACAACTGTGTGCCTCTTAAGTGTTTAATTATTTGAACAAGGAAATGAGGAAAAAAACAAGACAAAATGGAGACGGGCCTGGCTTTAAGACTTTTTATACTCAATCCGTTCTACTTTCACGTCATCTCCAATTAGCTGGTAGACGTAAGTGACCACAGTAGAAGCCTGGATGTCCATCAGCACAAATGACGGAATAATATTCCTGGAAGAAAAATAAGCAATGTCAGTGTTTTATACTAAAGCAATAGTGTAGGAGGAGCTAAGGTGGGAGGAGTAAGGAGAGGAAGAGGAGGAGTTGAGAGGAAGAGAAAAAAAGAGGAGGAGCTAGAGAGGGCAGAGATGTAGGAGGATGGAGAACCACACAAGTATGGAGAGCACTCGTAGGGAACAACTTATAAACTTATAATTAGGTTAGCTAATTGGGATACAACTCTCTTTGTATGGGAATCTTGTTATTAATCATCAAACATATAAAGCCTTTGATTATAAGAATTAGAGTCTCATTCTCTTACTGGGCCCGCATGGATGGTGGAATGGTCTGGGCAATCCCTTGCCTTGCGGAGACAGCGTGGAAGACTGGCAGAGCCATCTCTCACGCTGGGATCTAGTGGGTGGCAGGGCTGGTGTTTCTGGCGGGCGGTTCTAGCTGCAGGGTGCATGTGGCTTCAGGCTGAGAAACACGGCGGCTGGGCTAGGCAGAGCCACTGCAGCTTAGACAGTCAGCTTGGCCAGAGGCCGCTTTAATTATTTGCTACAACACAATAGCACTGTAAATTTCAAGGTACTGAACACAGGAGAAATCTGATTGTTACCTGCACACTAAAAAGAATAGTAACTGGACAGTGGTGGCACAAGCATTTAATCCTAGCACTTGGGAGGCAGAGGTAGGTGGATCTCTGTGAGTTTAAGGCCAGCCTAGTTCATATAATAGTTCAATGACAGCCAGGACTACAAAGAGAAACCCTGTCTCAAAAAACAAAAACAAAAACAAAAACAAAAAAAAAACCTGGCTGGCATTGAACCCAAAGCGATCTGGCTGCCTCCAGAACGCTGGAAATGAATTTGTGCACCACCACACCAGCCCTTATTTAAACATATTTCTCTTTATGAAATATCACCCATGTAATTACTACCTTTTCTAAAGCTCTAAATGCCTACATTGTGGTACTTACGTTTCCAAGGCATTATAGGCCCCAGTGGCAGAACCTGGGTTAATGTAGAATTTATTTTCATGCTCAAATGCTTCAAATTTGTGTGTGTGTCCTGAGATAAGAATGTCCACGTCAAACTGCCTCTGCAGCAGGGCTAAGCTAGCCATGTCTCCCCACGGAATGACTTGGTGCCCGTGGATCAGACCGATCTTGAACTGCCCCACAGTCACAACCTTCTGTTCCGGGTAATTCAGACTCTAATACAGAAAAGAGACATAAAGAAAACACACATTTTAGACAGAATGAAACTTAGTTTAAGACAGTACCCTACAACAAATACACATAATAAAGTTTCTCATCAACCTGTGATACTGCAATGGTGCTTACACCATTAATTCAGCTGATGTACACTGGAAGCTGTCAAACTGCTTTACTGACTTAATTTCTATAAAGGTTCTTAGGGCATGCTTTAAACGATAATCAATGCTAGGTGGGTGAGATGGCTCAGCAGGTAAGGGTACTTGCCAACAAGTGCTGGATCTAGCAGGAACTGACTTCAGGCTGTTGTCCTTTGACCATCACACTCGCACTGTGGCATACATGGACAAGCGTGGACAAATACTGCAATAATCCCTTCAACTTGTGATTTCCACAACTGAGATACACAACCTATAAGCTGGAACTTATTCAAATTATATTCCAGGCTTTAATAGTCATGATAACTCATTCTATGGATGTGACACAAAGAAGCTAAAATAACTTGCCCAAGGTTATATGCCAGTCAGTGGCTGAGGTGAGATCCGAATCTTGGTTACATGGCTCTAGATTTTGTATATTTAGCATACTAGAAATGAAATTTAGCCTTGTTAAACTATTTTTTAAACACAAATAGAGAAGCCTTAATGTATTTTTTTTAATAAACTAGACCTATATTCTAATGAACAAGTAGGCTATTAATGGGGCAGTGGTGGTACATACCTTTAATCCCAGCACTTGGGAGGCAGAGGCAGGTGGATCTGTGAACTCTAGGCCAGCCTGGTCTACAGAGTGAGTTCCAGGACAGCCAAGAATAGACCAACTCTCAAAAACCCAAAGAACAAAAACAAGTAGGCTGTCCTTTCCTGTCTTCCTAGACTTTCATCACCATATTTTACTCCAAATCTTTTTTATATCTGCTAAATAAGAACACTATGTTCATTTTATGTGACATAAAGAAACTCTTTAGGTTTTTTTTTTTAGTTTAAATTTTTATTTTGTGTGTCAGTTCATGTGTGCACCTATGCCACTATATACACATGGTGGCCATAGGACAACCTGGTATCAGTTCCCTCCTTCCGCCATGTGGGTCTAGTGGATCACAGCAGTCACCAGGCGTGGTGGCAAGCTCCTTACCCATTGAGATGCCTCAACGGCCCTAACCCCTTTCAAAGCACCAACCAAATTGAATAATTTTTGAAAAGCTTAAGATTCCTAGGAGCACAGAGTAATGTCTTCATATTGGAATCGGGTTTATTCTTGTGAATTATGCAATTCCAATCATCTATTGAGGGCCAGAAGAAAAGTAACTTGTCAAGAATCACATTATTTAGTAACTAATGGGCAAAGCGTAACTTTAAGAACTATTTCTTTTCCCATATCTTATTTCATAGACCCAGCTAGACTGGAATCCATGTTATATCTTAAGGCTATGCAAATAAGGTATATAGGAATGAAACAAGAATGAATTTAATGTTTAGAGCTGGCTTTTATCCCCAATAACTCATATTATGTGCTCAAGTCTGAGAATGCGAGAGTCCAGAACACTTCTCCCTGCAAACTAATGGATACTTCACCCGTAACTTTACACGTGGGAGACATAATTGTGATGTTGAGGATTGAACTCAGGCATTGTGTATGCTGAGACAAGTGTTCTACCACGTCATGTCTAGTTCCTAGGATACGTTTTTTCAAAGGGGCGGGGGAAGAAGAATAGAAAAAAAATGGAGTCTAAAGGATAAAGCTTGCTGGGCAGTGGTGGCGCACGCCTTTAATCCCAGCACTTGGGAGGCAGAGGCAGGCGGATTTCTGAGTTCGAGGCCAGCCTGGTCTACAGAGTGAGTTCCAGGACAGCCAGGGCTATACAGAGAAACCCTGTCTCGAAAAACCAAAAAAAAAAAAAAAAAAAAAAAAAAAAAGGATAAAGCTTACACAAAGAAGTGAGAAAGG